GCTTTTTTAACTGCCCTTTAACACTTGCTGTCCCGCTTGCACGTCTGCCGTAATCGTATGTATCTGTATGTGCGCTCGTATACATATGTACAGTGCTGACGTCGAACGCCGTTCGCCACAAGCAACAGGACAAACGACCCGGCTCTGACCCCAGCCCCAGTTCTCAGTTTGCCCCAAATTCGGCATCTGTTCTTACTGTTGCTTCGCCTTTGCTAGCTTGCGCTTGCGAGTTGGCGAGTTTGCGCGCTGCGCTTACTGCAACCCGCTCCGCACTAGATTTAGCTCCTGCCCCAGCTGCTGCCCCAGCTCCTGCTCCTGTTGCGCGCTGTGGCGTCACTGGGCCCCGCTTACCTAACCTGCACACTCCGAATTCCTGTGTGCCAAACATCAAATCTGATGCCTGTGCGCCCATCACAGCATTTCCTTGACATCTGAAAGCAAGCGAACTGCATCGACTTCGCAGTCGTCGTCGTCCATGTGCACTCAAGCAAATGAATGTCCTTAGGCTATTTTATACACACATGTGTTTACTTGTTTATAATAAATAAATAAATACACACTTAGCTCAACCTACAGAATGTTTACCACAACAAAACGAACTACTTTATTCTCACTTTGAATATGAAATTTTTTACTTCCTGTGTATGATCGGAACCTAAGCAAAACTAGGAATAAGAAAACAACATTTTGCTAACTCTAGATCGGAACAACAATCTTTATAGATGGAGCCATATATCTCAAGCAGCCCGATTTGCCAAACTTTATATAATATAGACTTAAGCAATTATATATACACAAGTAAATACATCTGCTTTCACTTCCTCCGTCAATTCAAAAGACCTACTGAACATGCAATTAGGTATGAGGTGGTATTTCACTAATCGGATGTTTCACTCCCATGGCTCCCTCACTTGGATCCCTAATCGGAATCCCTCACTTGGATCCCTCACTTGAATATCTCACTTAGCTTCTTTGGGTCCACACTTGGATACCTTACATCGATATCTTACTTGGATACCTTACGTGCATCCCTTACTTGAATACCACCCTTGGATCTCTCCCATAGATCCCTCAGTTGGATCCCTGTCTTATGTCCCTCACTCGAGTTCTTCACTTGAATATCTCACTTCACTCCCTTCTTGCTATCCCACACTTGGATACCTCACTTGGATCCCTTACTTGGATACCAACCGTGGATCTCTCCCTTGGATCTCTCACTTGGATTCCTCTCTAATACCTCTCACTCGGGTTCTTCACTTGAATATCTCACTTAGCTTGAATACCACCCTTAGATCTCTCCCATGGATCCCTCACTTGAATATCTCACCTAGCTCCCTCCTCTGGCACCCACACTTGGATACCTTACATAGATCCCTTACTTGAATACGACCCTTGGATCCCTCCCTTGAATCCCTGACTTGCATATCTCCCTTGAATTCCTCTCTTCGACCCCTCCCTTTTGATTACTCCTTTGGATCTCTCACTTGAATCCCTCACTTAAATATTTAACTTTGAACCCTCACTTTGATACCTTCCTCGGACACCGCCCTGGGATCCCTCACTCGGATACCCTCCCTTAGATGAATCCCTCAGTTGAATCTGCTAACCTAATCACGTATTGAAGCAAGGCCACAGCGCTGCCGTCTCTACTTGAAGTATGCGTTCGCAAACCATAAAAGCAGTAGAAAGCGTATTCAGCTTATCTTGTCTTTGCTGATAGATGAAAAGTCGTTTTAGACTACATAAAGGACATAAGATCAGCAGCCGCATCGATTTAGACCTCGAAGGTTTTACGTACATATATATATATACCATATCAAGAAGCTTACTTCTCATTTACTCATCATTACAAAAAGCACGAGACGGGCTTCCGGGTATCTCTTAGTCGAGCACTACCTGGTCGGAGCACTCTTAGTTATTGTGTATGAGAGTTTAGTAAGTCGAGCAGCACAACACAAAGTTCATCGTCTTTTTTAATGATCGCTTTAGCCTTATACTTATATCTACCGAAATGGAATATATAATGCTAACAAAATACTGTGGCTCTCCAGACGGCTCTAAGCAACTGCCTACACCCAGTTTTTAATCTGAACTTGCAACTTAAGTTTTTTTTTTAATTTTGGAAATATTTTAAAAATATTTACATCTATTTAAATATTTGCAAATAAAGAAAAGGCATCAAAATTGACTTAATTCAATTCTATTGATTTTTGAGTACTTGAGATTCAAGCTTAGCTGAAGACTAAAATATGACTTAATGTTTTAATTTAATTTTTTAATTTAATTTTAAGTAAGACTTTGCTAAGGCATAATTTATTTGACTGACTTTCATTATAAAATATCTTTTCTAAAATTAAATATTCATTTAAACTTTTAAATTTTTCCACTCTAAAACCCGACCCGATTGATACTTACCAAAAATAGAATTATTTTTCATCCAAAAATATTATCTAAAATAAAAAGAATTTCTTTGTTTTTGGTGTTGTAATCAATTTTGCATATTTCACATTTATTTTATCATTTTTAATGTTTTTTTATTTAATTTTTTTTTTGCTTTTTTTAAATATGTGTATGTATATATATATATATATGTATTCGTGTTTGTGTCTCTGTATATGTGAATATTCATATAACTATTATTCACTTTCGCTTCAGCTATGTATAATGGCGTTTGCTAACTTTTTCATTCAATGCTTGTGGTATTTATATATATATATATATATATAGATGTATATATATATTGAGTATATATGTCTGACTATGCACAAACACACACACACTCATATATATATAGCTGTGTGTGTGTGCATTAGCCAGTAAAGATGATCAGAGCTCTTGCTATACGCTTAGCCCTAGAACTTAACATAATATCCATGTATATATTGACTTATATGTGTGTATATATATACTATATATATATATGTATTTTATATGCTTACGTGTGTGTGTTAATGCTCTATATATGTATAGCTAGTTCAGGTAATATTCAAATAATAATGCTTCTTTTCTGCCCTTTGCCGCTAAATTTTCCTTGCGTTCGTCGAATATGTTTATCAAAAGTTTTATCAAATCTTTGAATCATTTGCACCTTTTTGTTCTAGGCTTCAATTAAACTCTCACCCGAATGCGAACTTTAAAGTTTAATATATATGTATATATATGTGTATATATGTATGTATGTTTATCGTACTTGTATCAATTTATGCATCATTTCGTTAGCGCTTACAAAAATATCAATATTTATAGAAGCAACAAGAAATCACATTAATTTTTTTTTAATTTTCGTTTTTTTTTTTTTTTTGGGTGTTTTTCTATACACAAAAAGCGTGCGTTTCGCAGTTACTGGGTATATATTTATAAATATATATATGTATGTATGTATGTATATATATAATATAGTATCTGCATGCGCGTATTACCTGTGTGTAAACAACAAACCTTTTAGCCCAATGGAGGGAGTTTTTGGTGCGCCTGCACGACAACTAATGAAAGGAAACCAGATTGAATCGAACAGAAATGTGTGCTCTAGTCGTACAGTACCGACTAGCGTATACCCTGTATCAAAAAACCCTGTGTCACGTAGTCCCTTTAGGACGTTCTGCTGGCGCTGTCTAGCTGCTGGTATTTTATTTAGTATTTTTTCTAAACGGACTTTCATCGAGAGCTAATGTATATAGCTACTATTTGTCTGTGTACAGGGTATACGAATGCCTGAGAGTATTTGCATCGAAATCGATGAAAAAGAGTCTGGAGTATTATGAAACAAACTTTGCGTGATTAGTAGAATATATATACATGCAGCTGTTATATATATATAGTATATTACGACAGGCATTGCATCATTCCCTCATATCAAGTCGTTATTGTAACTAGCAAACAAACATATGTCTCTAACACTTCATAATACACTACAATTTTCGTTCAATCTAAGCCGCATCGCATTATATAATATCAAGATTTGGTCTATAAATCATCTCCATATATGTGTATATAGATGCCTCCACAAGCCAACTTGAGCAACTCGAGCAGCTGCCAGTGGCAAATGGCAAGCACCAAATCAAACAATTGCCTTGGCCAGCAAACAATTGAAACATTTAGTACTTGTACTAGTGTGTGTGTGTGTGTGTGTGTGTGTGTGTGTTTATCTATGACAAACTCTAACATAGCATTAACAATAATAGAAGCAGTAGCTGCTTAATCTAAAAACCCGCCCGCCCCATCCACAAAAGCCCTGCCACACCACCACAACTAGTGCTCATGTATGTATGTGTGTGTGAACATATTGATACACACATATATGTGTGTATGTGTGTGTGTGTATATATGAAACAATATTCTCATTTCTGAGTATATAAAACGTATAAATATGCAACTGTCTCTAAATAGTTATGTTTATATACATATATATTTGTGTCTGTGTGTGTGTGTGTGTCAGCATACAGTATATGCTTGCCTATGTATATGTATGTATGTATATATTTATATATATGTATATGTATATGTATATCTATGTATATATTCATGTATATTGTATAAGTATAAATAATTTATATTGTTGCTTAACATTTCCTTTGTTTATAGTATATTTAACGTTTTGTTATGTTCAGGTCACTACATTTCTTTGCGGCTTAATTTCGTTATGTTTCGTCTTCGACTTAATAAATGTTTTTTTTTCTTTGTTTTGGCTTTAAAACGATTCCCAGCCAGTTAATCATAAATTGCAAAAGGGCCCGTGCCGCGGGCAATACTCGTTCAATTCTAAACAACGCATGATCGATAAACGATAAGCCATAATCGATAACCGATTGGCCGTCAAGGATACATGATAACCGATAATTAACTAACAACTGCCCCTAGAGCGTTCGGTGTCCTAACGGTGCATTTAATACAGCTACTGTTACAGCTACAGTTTCAGTTACCGTTACTTAAGTCTAAGCACGTATAATCATTCAACTATATAGCCTATTCGCATCTCCATCTCCCCTACTTGCTGTGTGTGGTTTTTTTTCGTTTATAAAGTTCATCTCCTGTATAATACCTACAATAGTATGCGATACTTTAGTGCTCTCTACCATATATAACGATGTATATAACTCTCCAATACTGTTCAAGGAAGTACGGATACTATGTATTGCATGTGACTGGTAAACTATTTGCTTGAGCCTACACTGTGCTAGTTTATAACTGCTGTGGATCACACTCTACTACACTCACTCGCTGACGCACACACGCTCTCTCACACTCACACACACGGACATGCATGCACACACATATTATACACACAGTTGCCACGAAGCCAATTTGAGTTGCACTGCCACTGCTAGTTCCAGTTCCAGTTCCAGTTCCAGTTCCAGTGCCGGCTCCAAATCATGCTCCTTTGCAAAAACTTATTTGTTCTCAATTATTGTCTGCAATTGCAGGACGAGGCTGCGTGACAGCTGCAGAATCGACTGGGCATTGTGACGCTCGGCCATTTCTGAAAGGCATCAGATGATCAGATATTATATATTTAAGCAAATTCCCGATTGATCTTACCGTTAAAGAACTTGATGACATCTGTAAAGTCCATGCTGTTGGACAAAATGATGTCGCGATAGGTTTCGAGCAGCGCCAGCGCCAGGAAGAGCACAAAATGCCCGGAGGCAATGTGCTTGGCCGCCCAGATCACCTCCCAGGTGGCAAAGACATCGTCATAGATGAGCTCGCGCTTGAAGTCCAAGAGGAACCAGCGGTAGCAGAAATAGAAGTGCGTATAGTCCCCATTCGAGTCCATTAGGTCGTACATCTCCGAGTCCAGTATCTGAATTAGCGAGCTGAGCACGAGAGAGAGAGAGAGAGAGAGAAGGCAATCGAGATAAGAGACAGATAGAGTGGAGCGCATAGATATAGAGATAGATACCGCATATTGGCGAAATGCATGTCCATGGCACCACCGCTGGGAAAGTTCTCGATCATGCGCTCCATCAGCTTGCAGAAGCAGCTGTAGCTGAGCGATTCATCATCGAAGATGACCAGCAATGGAGCGACCAGGTCGCACATGCCCTGCATGTAGCCCACATCCAGATGCTCCCACACATACGTCGATATCACATTGCGCAGCTTGTCCAGATTCTCGCTGGCAAAGTACCAATAGTTGCGATCGCAGCGCTGCACATCCTTCTCGATCCGATGCAGATTTAGACCAAACTGTTCTAGCAGCTCCACGCTATAGACTCCGCCATTGGAGCTGGCTGGTGAGACGCAGACAGACTTTGGCTCCTGCAACGCATCCAATGAGGCGACGACGGTGATGTCCTCGTTCAGGGGCGACATGAGGCTTGTTTTGCGTGAGGTAAACTCCTCGGTGGGCTCGTCGTCATTGCATTGTGCGTCAAGGTCATCCAGTGAGGCGGCTTCTGTGATAATGACTGATGTTGCCGGATGCTCCTCATCGTGACGCACATCGTCCGCACTATGAAATTTAGTTAACTGACCATTCGCCTCCGCATCCGCATCGGCATCCGCATCGGCATCCGCTTCTGGCTCCACACCTGCCTCGTCTAAGACTTTGGCATCTGTCAGATCGCCAAACTCATTGCCCACCGTCTCGTAGCTGCTGGTCGAAGGTGAACTCTTAATACTAAGCAACAATATGTTGCCACTGCCGTCTAGACTGAAACCTAGATCGCCTTCGGCTTCGGAATCACCGAAGCAATTGTCATGCAAGCGCAGTGGCTCCATATCGTCAATGTTCTGAAACTCCAGCACCACTTGTCCGCTCAGCTGAGCCGGCAGCTCGGCTGTCTGTTCCTCGTTTTCCTCTGCCGCTAGCAGCTGCTGCTCAGCCTCCAACTGTGGCTGCTGCTCATCGAACTCATCGCCCGGATCGGAGATGTCCGAAAAGTCGTTGTCATCAAATACATCATTCTCGCCCTCGGCCAAGCCGTCGTTGTCCAGCTCTAGCTGACCATTGCCATTGGTCAGCTGAACGTTCGAAGCGAGTGGATTGGCATTGGCTGCCAGCTGTGCTTGCTCTGCGCTCAGCTTAGCCACAGCCAAGGCCGTCTTCTCCTTCTCCCGCTGTCGCACAATCGCCTCCACGGCCAGCCACTCGCTCATCGTGGTCTCGTAGTAGTGCTTGCAGGTCTCGTCCTGCTTTTGGCGTTCCTCCGGCGTCGAGCCGAAGGCATAGTGGCCAAGCAGATACGGCCACACCTCCTTGCGCAGCTCATGCTCCACGCCACCGAAATAGACCAGACGATAAAGCTCTAGCTCGCCAGAAACGATGCCATCAACATTCATCGCCAGCCACTTCTCCCTGGTTAGACCCTGCTCATTAACGGCCACTGGAAGCAGGATACGTTAGGCTTTTGAGTGTCAAGGACTAATTTCAGTTCACTTACAATCTGGGGTAATGCGACCATTGACCAGACCGGACAGATGCGTGCGCACCGTGGATAAATGACGGCAGTAGGCCAGCCAGCCGTAGAAGGCGCGCGAGATGATCTGACGACGCATCGTGGAGCAGACCAGTTCAATGCTGGCCGTTTGACTGGCCTGTATCAATGGCGGATCCGGATTGCTGCTCTGGTCAATGGATAAGCTCTTGCTGGAGCAGTCGCTGCTGCCGGTGGTGGAGCAGCTGCCCAGGTGCTTGCGCCGCGGACTCGATCGACCCAGCTCCAGTATGGGATGTGTGGCCACTACAGGGTATAAATCACTTTAATTAGCTTTGCTAGGCAAACGGCGGTCGGCCACTTACGGAACTCCTCATGCTGGCTCTTGCTGACGACCCGAAACACATAATCAATGGGCGTCTCATCGCTTGATGACTCCATGACCGAGGGCAGGATGTGCCGGCGGACACTTTTGGGCCATGGGAAGAGCTTGCCGATGCCGCGCTGCGACCAGAGCGGCGGATCGAGCTGGCCATGCGGCAGCAGACCCGTCTCCAGGCAACTGAGAAACGCCTGCAGGTGCCCGCCCTCCGGAAAATGTATGGGCGGACGCTGTACGCCATCCTGACCAACTAGTATAATGATCCCACCTGTGTCACCGCCGCGATTTTGATGGCAGTGCACGTAAACAATTTCATCGACATTGATATTGAGAGCATAGCCCCAATAGAAGCTTTTGTCGCTCATATCGGGATCATTGTAGCCGTTCATTAGCTGATTGGGCGTCCACTTGATGGTCAGCGACTGGATGCTCTGGTGCAGACTGAGATAGCCGGGCATCGGCTCAGCCACATCTTTGGGCAGCACCAGCACGTTGTTCTTGCCATAGAGCAGGGTGGTGCGGGAATTCTGATGCAACGACTCCACGTAGTCCTTGGCCACGCTCGCCGGCGAGCAAGCCTTGAAGCTGCCGCTGCTTGTATCCTCCGAGCTGGTGTGCAGGCTGCGCTTGAAATTAATGATGGGCCGATGACAGGTGGGAGGCGTGCGATTGCCCGAACTGATGCGATGACGCTGCACCTGCAAATTATTCAGAATGAGACAATTTATCAACAAATAGTTGAGCTGCTGCGAGTTTTACCAGCTCATCGGCGCAGGGATCGGACCAGTAGTGATCGGCAGTCTTGGCGCGCGTAAACTCCAGAGCACAGGGCCCAACCAGCAGGGAGCTGAGTATGGAGCCGTAATCGGGATCGGCGACCAGCGCCTCGCGATCGTAGTAGCTCTGAGCGTTGCTCACCAGATGCTCAATTATCTTGGCCAGACGCTTCTCATAGAGTGCCAGGCGAATCCACAAATATTTGCCCAGCGGTGCTGAGGCGCCGTTGGCGCCCACCGAGGCGACAACCGTATTGATGGTGGTCACAGAGCTGCTGCTGCAGCTGCCCTTGTTGAGCAGCTTCGGCTTGATGATGCTGTCGCTGCTGGAGGATGAGCGCTTGCCGCTAACCGCATGACTCTCCTGCGCCAGCTCCAGCTCCAGCAGTCGACGGCTCACATAGTCCGCCTCCGGGCATATCTTGGCTATCTTTTGTATTAGCGCCGTTGTCGACGAGGTCTTGAACAAGCCCAGAGCACGACGCCGCAGACCGTGACTGAGGCAGGCCTCCACAGCGGCGCACAGTGAAGTCACGGAACTGCTCTCCTCGTGCACATACTTTTTGGTGACCGCCTCCTCCATCAATTGCTTCACCTCCTTCTTAACGCTCGCAATCAGGCGCTCCTTCAGCTCACAGTCTGCATTGAGAAAAAAATAAAGCACAAAGGGCCGCAAATTATGTGCTGAACATTTCCAAGAATTTGGCATTACGGCTGAAATTCAATGGCAGACCTAATCCGCAAGTCACAATACAATCACTGACAAGTCCGCATAGAGCTTCCATGCCCTTTCATATTGGGGGCGCCCAATCCCAAACTTGGATCAGACGCTTTTCTGACGGCTTAACCTTTTCCGAGCCCTTCTCACTGGAATTGCATTTCCAGACCGTTGTCAATCATTTCGCTATCAACGTCAATTCGCTTCCTCCAGCTCGGCTCATGCTTCTCAACGAGCACCTACTTGTGTATGTATACTATTCATGGATGTATTCACAAATATGCTAATGGCATACGAAAAGGAAGCCCAAAAGGCGCGCTTCTAATTAGAATGCAAATAGGTTGAAGCAGGATTTTGGCTGGCGGCATCGTCACATGCCTCATTTGGCGGAAGTATTTGCTAATACAAGAACCTGTATATTGATTCGCTTACATTTAGCTATATGTACATAGGGGTATAAGTCGATGCAAATGGATTTCTGATAATAGAATTGCTTGTCTGAAAGGACACTTATCAAAACATGTGGCGCTTAGTCAGGGCACTTCTAGTGACAGGTGTGTTAATATTGAATGCCAAATGATAAGAGGGATTAGGTAAGTTCGCATTGGAATTAATCATTATATAATTTAATTAACAGGATACCTGGGCAGCGCCGCCAGCCGGGCTGGGGCTGCTAACCTTGACTTGCCAAGCAAAAAGCAGCAAAATAAAGAAATAATGAAAAAGCAAAACGAAGAAAAGCTTGCTTCAACCGTAAACTAGACAATGTGTGTACCTAGGCGTTGGGTGTGCTGGGTGTGCACACCGGGTGGTGTGTGTGCGAGTGTGTGAGTGTGTGAGTGTGTGAGTGCGTGCTGTTAGCTACACCTGCGACGCACACTCTTGACCCTGAACAACATAAAACAGCTGATGACAGGCAAACAGTGTGTGAGCATTGGTGCGAGCGAGACGACAACTGTTACACACGCCAAGCCAAAAGGGAACCAGTGAGTTGAGTGAGCGGGAGAGTCAGAGCAATAGGGACAGCTACAATGAGTGCGAGTGCGAGTGCGAGTGCGAGTGCGTGAGCAAGCCCAACGGTAAATATGAGCTTGTGTCCTGCTTTTGCTCGTGGGCCTTTAATTTGCTGTCAGCTACGACCTCGCGCTTCATTTCGCCGCGCCATATTGTAAATGGAAGCTGGACCCAAACATATGTTTGCCACCCAACAGAGCCAAGCATATAAACGTGTATGCGTGTGTGTACGCACGCACGCACAGATACAAACAGGTCAGGTGCACGTTACCTGCGAAGCGTAGCTTCGTAGAATTCCGCTTTGGTAACCAGATTTTGAAATCCAAGTATTTGATAACAGGAGCAAAACTTGGGGTTAAGAGAAGAGCATTCAAATTTCCTTTGCATTGGCTGAATTTATGCTCGAGTTTAGTGGAAGCGGTTAGGCAAGGTAAGAAAGAGGTCTAAGGTAAGCAGCTTAGCTTACTAGGTAATTAAAGCAAACTAAGACCTAGCGAAGTAAAACAAGTTAAATGAACTATACAAACTAAACGATAAAGAGAAAAAATGAAGGAAAACCAAAGCCGTATACTTTAAACGTTGCTTAATTAATAATCGAAGGGGGTAAGCCGTGCCAACGCAAACGCTGATTAAAAGTCGATATTTACTCAATTAGCTAGACGGAGGTAAAGGCCAGAAGCACAGTCAGTTCTCGGACTGATGGATGGACGGCTGGACGGACGGACAGACAGGAGAGCTGTGCAACGTGCAACAGGCTCACACGCGCGCCACAACACGCCAGGACATTGAAATGATGAATGCAAATTTGCGCGCATGACCCTGAACTTTTGCATTTCACGTTGGCATTGCAACAAGACTCGCTAAAGGCCACTTCACAGGTATGCGTAATTTAATTGGCTCCGCCGGCAGTGCCAATTGGCTCTGAGCAGTGGGCGCTGGCTATCAGATAAAGCAGCTCATACACAAAGTGCACTTAAGCAATCGATGCCAATTAGTGGGCTTGTTGCATTTAAAGATGTGAATATAATTAAGTTGCAAGCGACACGAGCGCCACCAGCTCGCCAGGTGCTTAAGCCTCATTTAAATGTCATCGCTAAGCTGCCTTTCAAATTAATGAGTCTACTTAATCATGGCTTAAGCATTTCAATGATATGTCAACTTGGGTTTACTGTCTCTTTCTCTCTCTCTCCACTCTCCTATCTCGTTCTGTTAAGCCTCTTATTATAATGACTGATAGATAAATACATACATAGATAGACATTTATGTATATTGCCTGTCAATTAAGTCAATATTGATGATAAGATTAGATAGGACTGGAATGTAATTAGCAGGATTATCAAATTAGTTTGCCAAGGCAATTCTTTGCCAAACGGAACTGTAAACAGTTGCAAACTGTTCAAGAATATGCCAAAATTACGATCTTATCAACTTCGAGTGCTTATAAATTATTGAGAGTCCTGAGAGGAATAACAATTCTGCGTACACATTTTGATTTACGCACAACTATTTCTACGAACGTGCTGGAACTGCAGACAGTTCCTCCCATGCCCATAAAAGTATGCTACATAAAAGCTTTCCAATATTAATAAGGGGGGCATCAGCGGAATGAAAACTTTATGTCTGACTACACATATCATCCACACACACACACACACACGCACGCGAGCTCGCAACACAAATTACAAAAGTTCTGCTACTCTGAAAGTTGCTGATAAACTTCGCATTTGTCTTGCAGAACATAAAATCATTTCGTTTTCTCACCTTCAGCTGCGACGCTTTCTAATCATCAATAAACATACGCAGGCACGCACGCACTCAACTCACACTCATACAACTTTTTGTTTAATATACATAAACATATACCTATATATATATATATATATATACATAGCTCTACATAATATCAAAGCTATCTCTCTTGTTGTCATTGGTGTTGTTGCTGTGGCTGTTATTGTTTGTGTGGTTGCGGCATGGCAAAACGTGAAAAAAAAGTTTTTCTCACTCACCGCTGGTGGCATCGCTGTTGGCATTGGAGGCGCCACCGCTGCTAAAGCTGTGTAGCATATTCATTTTTGGAGGGTCCGTGGTACGTGCTTCGCCGCAAGGCAGGCTCCCGATGGCTGCTACTGTCTGTTGTTGCTGTTGTTGTTGTTGTTGCTTTTGCTGCTCTGCTCTTCACTTTTTGTTGTAGTATATGTGTGTAAGTATGTATGTGCGTAATTCTTTGGGCAAATATTTTCAGTTTCAGTTTTGTTTATGCGTCTTCGTTGTTATTTGCACACACACACACACACGCACTCTCCCTCTCTCTCGCTTCCTTCCTCTTTCTGTCTTCTGCGCGCTTTATTCGTGCCTTCTCCGTCACTCCCTCGCTAGCGCTGTTTCGTTATCCCAGCTGTTGTTGTTGTTTTTTTTTTGTAGTAGTACTACTTTCGTATTTCTTATTATATTTTCTTTCGAATATTAGGCAAAAAAATTAAATTGTATAAAAATCTATATTCGTTGTATTCGAATTCGACAAAAACTTCATTTGTTATTTTCTTTGCTGTGATATACAGGTGTACTACACACACACACACATGGAGGCGCACACATGCTAGTTCATGTATGTTTTTGTTGTTGCTGTGATTACTGCCGTTGCTGTTATTGTAAAAGCGTTGTCCAAAAATAATTACGCATTTTGGCATATGTGCATATGCGCATGGATCTGTATGAAACTGCGTGCTTGTGCATATATATTTGTGTATTTACATATGTATGTATGTATGTATGTGTAAGCGCACATATACCACACTCAGCTCTGGTATTTTACATTTCAGCTACTTTCGCGTTCCTGTCGTTGTTGTTGTTCAATTTGTTGTTGTAGGTAACGGACATATATATTTAGCTGGCGGCCCGTTATGCACAGTTCTTTGTATTGCATACTTTCTTGGACTCTGTCTCACACCATTTTTGCCTCCACACTGTGTGCGTGCGTTTGTGTGTGTGTACGCGTGTCTGCGCGCCTGTCCGTCTTCGTCTTTGTCTGTTCGCTGTTGTCGTCCGTTCGCCAGCAGCTTCGTTTGTGTACTAACGGCAACTGATTGACACTCACAAGGCAAGCTCGCCTCCAGTCGCATCACACGAGTATCGAATGTCGATAAATAGCGATAGACATAAGAAAAATAACGGTTTTATGTAAGTTTTAAATAACAATTATACGAATTCTGTGAGTAGAATCGAGCTTTTCAAAAAACTATCTATTTTAAAATTAAAAAATATTAAAATGAATTACAAGTGTGAATTGATTGACAGGGCGAGAGAGGGAGATAAAATCTGAATGTAAACGAAAAGAACAAAGAAGTAAATAAGCTTTAAAATTGCAAGAGTAAAAGGATGAGACAGAGTGAAAGAGTGAGAAGCACACACGCTGTGTGCTTCAGAAAGAGATACTCTTATGTTTAGATTGAGTTCTGTCAGTATCGAATAATGCTCAATAGTTTCCTAGTTTTTATAGGAAATTCTATTTTATTTCAGCGTAAACAATATAAGCACGAGGTTGGCAAGTAAACAAAGTGTTTAAAATTACAGTATCACTTAAATTATATTTACACAAAACTGTTTTCGCTGGAATGTCACTCAAGTAACGATAATGGCATCGCCACAAGTCAGTTGCTGCTGCTTATCTTCCGTTTCACTGGGCAGACGCGAGATGTAGATGCCGAATCTCATTTTGCCGCTCTGCATGCGGGCAATGGTCGTGAGAGTCTCTGGCGAACGTTCGCCGGTTCGCTGATTGATGCAGATCATGTCACAGCGCTGGCAGGGTCCGTCGACTTGGAAGAGTATGGAGCCAATGCGCAGCTGCGTGTAGGCCAGCTCCTCGAAGGGCAAGCCCGTATCGATGATTATGTTGGCGCGAAAGCGATCGACCGTCTCGTCCAGCGGCTCCTCGAACTGTAGCGAACGCACCGAGGCACGATTGACCAGCAGGAACTGGGCTTGATTCACCAAACTCAGTTGCTTCTGCTGTGTGCCCGGTGCGCTGCGTTGCGCCGACTGACGCAGCAGCCGCACGCCCTCCAGCCCAAGGTGCTGGCTAAGCCAACTGGCTACCTCATCGCCGCAATCGTAGCCCTCGATGGGCTGACGACAGACCTTGCTGTGGCAGCGTGCCGAATTCGCAGCCTGAACGCTCAGTGAGAGCGGCACGGCACAGGACGATTCCGCGTAATGCAACTCCAGTTGATCTCCCGCAATGCGTGGCTGTATCAGGCACAGATCCGTGCAGCGTTTCTGGGTTAACGCCATGCCATTGATATCGACGATCATCCACTCGCGATCATACTGCAGGCCCTGTTTCGTCAGGGGCCAGCCAACCGTAGACTTGCCGACCTTAAAGGCAGCACACGACTTCACCGGATAAATGGCCAACTGGAGTAGACGTGGACGCAAACGCTGCGCTCGCTGCTGCAGCACCTTGGGCAGCATCTCCGCCTGCTGCTCAATGAAGCTGAAACGCAGCTGCGGCTTAGAGATGACAAGATAGCTGCTACGCAGCATCTGCAAAAAGCGTTCAACATCTTGTACACGGGTCATGTAGCCAAAGGAAACGCGCACGGCGCCCGTCGGCTGTCCATCCAGCAGATCAAAGTAATCGCCACAGATGCGTCCAGCGCGCTTATAAATGGCATCCATTGTATCATCATTCAGATTCAAAAATTGCTGGCAGGCGCCCACATTGCAGAAGCAACCCGTGCGCAACATTACACGATGCAGTGCGGCCATGCAGGCGACCTCGCCAAAACCCACATAGTCCCCAGTATCGGTGCGCACGTTGAAGGCGACAGTGCCGCCCTGTTTGGCACGATCCTCATAGCCGGCATGGTTATAGAGCGTGATGAGCGGTGCACCATTGGGATGTTTCAGCTGCTTCAGCTGATGCTCACAATAGCGTGCCAGGCCATGTACGTGCCGTGAAATGCGCTCGATGCTGCGACCAGGCACTAGGCGCTCCAGCGTGCGAAATCCCTGCAAGAGCTCTACTATGGACAAGAATGGCAGTGTTCCGTCCTCGAAGCGCTCGTGGAATGTGCTGCGCAGCTGATGGTCCATGGTATGTGGATAGACATAGTTTACGGTGCCGCCGCCATAGAAACGCTTGCGCAGCACTTCCGCGCCGCGGCGACTGACCAACAAGCCGCCAACGCCCGTGGGGTAGCCAAAGATCTTATAAAAGCTGACGCAAACAAAGTCCGGGCGATAGCGTTGCAAGTCCAGCGGGCTGCTGGCGGCATAGGCAGCTGCATCCAAGCATACATAATAATTTTTGTCGACTCCATTCGCTACTGGTTCAGACTGTGCGCTCCAGATGCATTTGCCCAACTGCTGAAGGCCGCAGTTTTGTATCTTCTCAATGACAGTCAAGGGCATCTTGTAGCCGCTGAAATTGCACTGAGCCGAGAAGGTGAGCAGAGAATTGGCCTGTGCTGTTGGAGCTGGAGCTGGAGCTGATGGCTGTGCCTGTTCGTTAAGCAGAATTTCGTCTTTGGTGAGCATATAGATGCCCTTGGCCTTAACCACTTGACGCATGCCCAACACTGAAGTGTGATTCTCTTGGCAATAATGAAAGTTGCCATCGCTGGCGAAATCAAAGTGTTCGGCTACAAGACGCAGTGCAGCCGTTGCATTGGCCGTAAACACAACATGATAATCATCTGCGGTGGTATTGAAGAACTCTAAAATTCTGTAAAAGATAACAGTATTATCAACTTAACTGTAATTAGAACAATAACTACCTTACCTGTAGCGCACCTGATCCACATAGTCGCCGGTGGCACGACAGGTGTGCGGATTACAGATAACATCGCGTTGCAGTTGCTGCGCTGCGTTCAGCACTTGGCTTTCGGCATACAGAGTTGTTCCCGCATGGTCGAGGTAGGTGCTTTCTGCGTTAGAAGTACATGACGTATCGTTCAATTGGTTTCTTATCAGTGTCGCTATTTCATCACGTCTCACTTACCCGCTAGTCTGGAAAACTCCTTGTCAATGAGTTCCTGCTCTGCAGCTGTAAACTCGGCTGTGTATCGAACCATTATTGCGCATTCGGTTGAGGTCTCAGCGTTATTTATAGCTGCTCATGGTAGTTAAAACGCAACCGGTACTTATAGAGATGTCACCCCATAAGTTATATTTAAAAAAGATCAATTTGGATCGCTATAGTGAAAAAAAATACATATCGATAAGTTCCAACAAACTAATATAAATATCGAGAAGTTGGTGCAAGATTTAAATTTTAAAAAGCGTTGCCAGAGGGCTTAGATAAAAAACTAACCGGAATTTATATGTATTTCAAATTATTTTTGTTTAAACATTTAAACACTTAAACATTTCGTTCATTTTTATATTGAATCCATAATTTGCAGTCACGATTAGTTTTTTTTGTAGCTGTTATAACCATTTTGACTGCAATGCACATTTATCACGTGGTTATTTTTATTTAAAGCAAACATAAATGTAAAAAAAATCAGATGGTCATGTCAAAATTTAATAAAATACATTAATTAATTCGAATTATATTGTTTTATAACGATCAAAATATTTTCTATGAATTGTTAGTGTTGGACAACACTCGTGCTTAACAGTGTCATCGCACTATCGATAACAAGCAGCAGCTTTCAACTAACTGAAAAGACAGTCGCAAGTCAAACACATTGCGTTTTCTATTGTTATTTGTGCAAACGTTTAATATTTCGACAGTCAAACATGCCCAAGGAGAAATCCCGACATCGTAGTCGCAGTCGAAGTCGCAGCCGTCACAAGAAAAGCTCCAAATCCCACAGCTCTAAGCACAAACACACAAGCAGAAGCGACAGGCAACGGGACAGGTCCACAAGTCGTTGGGAACGTGGTCGGGAAAGGGAACGGGATCGAGAACGAGAACGGGACTCAGACAGAAATCATCACAAGCGGAGAGAGAAGCGCAGTAGGAGTCGACAAAGGAGCTCAAAAAGGGATAAGGAGCAGTCGTCTCGACACAAAGAGCAGCGAGCACGTTCGTCCTCTGCCTCGAGCTCAACCACGTCCTCGTCATCATCAGGATCGAAACGCCAAGATCAGGCAGGCGGAAGGTCTGGAGGCAAACGCGGTACAGAAATGAATTCGATAAAATTGCTGCAAACGCTGGAGGAGCGTCGTTTGCGCGAGCAGCAGGAACGCCAGCGACAAAAAGAGGAGATCAAGTCGAAGGAGACGCCCGAGGAGAAGCGTGCACGTCGCCTTCGCGAAAAGCAGGCCAAGGAGCAGCGCCGCCGACAGCGCATGGGCTGGGACAATGAATACCAAACGTATTCCAACGAGGACAATCCGTTTGGCGACTCCAATCTGACCTCCACCTTCCACTGGGGCAAGAAACTCGAGGTCGAGGGCCTGTCCAATCTGTCCAGCAAGACGGTTGAAGTGCTGTCGCTGCAAAAGCAGCTAGAGAACCGTCGTGAGTTGGAAAAGGTGAAAAAACTACGCCAGGAACGCGAACTGGAGCGTCAGGCGCGCGACGACGACGCCATGCAGCAGCAGCGCGCCAAGGAAGCGGTTCAATTCCGTGAATGGCAGCGCCAGGAGGACCAGTTTCATCTGGAACAGGCACGTCTACGCAGCGAGATTCGCATACGCGACGGCCGTGCGAAGCCAATCGATCTGCTGGCTCAATATGTGGCCGCCACCAATACGGAGACGGATCTGGAGGACGCACTGGAGATGCAAATGCACGAGCCGTATATGCTGTTGCATGGCCTGACCATAGACGAGCTGGAGGATCTGCTGGTCGACATCAAGGTGTACGAGGAGCTGGAGCAGGGCAAGCACATTGACTTCTGGAACGACATGATCACCATTGTCCAGGATGAGCTGAAGAAACAGCTAAAGATTCAACAGAGCGAATCGAACTCACTCAACCAGCGTCGCGATGGCATACACCAGAGCGTCGTTAAGGATGTGGCGGACATATTTCGGGGCAAGAATGCCAAGCAGCTAGAGGAGATGCGCCAGCGCATCGAAGCCAAGATAAGCGGACGCGCCGACGGCGTTGACATCAGCTACTGGGAGAGCCTGCTGTCGCAGCTGAAGGCACATATGGCGCGTGCCCGCCTACGGGATTGCCACCAGGCGCTGCTGCGCGAGAAGCTGCAGCTGCTGAAGCGCGAGCCCGATCCACCCAATGTGGTTGAGATAAATTCGCCCACATCGTCATCGCTCAAACAAGAATCGGATGAGGAGATGGACACAAATGCTGAGCCGGAGCAGCAGCCGCAGCAAGAGCAGGAGGCGCCAGAGGAGGAAGAGCCGAATGCTGACAGTCCGTTGAGGGAGCTGGAGCACTCATGTCATTTGTACAAACTGGGCAACTATAGTCCCACTTATATACGTGAGGAGGACTTCACCGGGCGCCGCCTGACCCCTGCCGATGAGGATAACATCGATGGCGGCCTCTACGCTGACAGCGATGATGAGCAACGTGTGCAGCGGCAGCGGCTACTGTTCGTGCATCCGGAGCGCGTGGATGTGGCACAGCTGACGCCGCAGGAGATGCGTATGCGCGGCGAGGCGCGCAAGGGCATGCAGGGCGATGAGGCGGAGTTCAGTGTAGAGACCACACTGGACGCAGTGCCTCAGCTGGCCACCGATAAGTATCGGCCACGCAAGCCGCGCTACTTCAATCGCGTGCACACGGGCTTCGAGTGGAACAAATACAATCAGACGCACTACGACATGGACAATCCGCCGCCCAAAATTGTGCAGGGCTACAAGTTTAACATATTCTATCCGGATCTCATGGACAAATCGCAAACGCCGCAATACTTCCTCACGCCATGCGCGGATAATGCGGACTTTGCGGTGCTGCGATTCCATACGGGGCCACCCTACGAGGACATCGCCTTCAAGATCGTCAACCGAGAGTGGGAGTTCAGCTACAAACGCGGATTCCGTTGCCAGTTTCATAACAACATCTTCCAGCTGTGGTTCCACTTCAAGCGCTATCGCTACAGGCGCTAAAGAGACACGCCTTATTTATTGGGCTGCCACTTGCTGTCTTTCCTTTTTTTTTAATATAAAATAAAACATTTTTAGTATTTGAATGTGTTTTGGTTTCTTGTATCTTGAATCTTGAATCTACATGATGCTGCAGTCCTTGATGGGTGCCTGCTGCACTGCTTCCAGCGTTTCGCCGCGTTCTGCTCGCTGCACCTGGGCCAGCACGCTTTGATGTTGGGGAAAGGCCATGCTGGCCAACTTGGAGTGCACCAGATGATCGTCGATGGTCACCTCAAAGGCGCCGCGTCGTCCCTGGTGGCAGGACACCTGCACACCCGGCGCTGCGTCCAGCAGAAACTGCCGCAGCAGCTGACATTGCAGCGAAAAGTTACAGGTTCCACTGTGAATGCATATATATGTATACCATGTGAATATATATGGTTAATCCAAAATAATAATTGTATTTCCAACTAACCAGTATTCTACATCCACCTTGACCATTGCATAAATCACAACAAACCGCAGATTAGGGATATTCCACTTAAAATAATTAAAATATATATACAAAAAATATATGAAAGTTTGGACTTATAACTTTTGCGCACATAACTAAATTACTATGAATAGAAAAGTATAAAAAATTTAGCTCGACATCTGAATTTTTTAAGTTACGTTTTTAAGTCCTGTAACGCAACAAAATCTTTGATTGCTATACAAAAATATACAAAAAACGTTTGTGTAAAAATCAATTTTAATAGTTTTTTAAGTATACAAAATATTGGACTAGTAATGTTATATACAAAAGCTATGTTTAATAGTCATTTCATAAATGTATCTGCCTACTTATTTAACAAAAAGAAACCAAGGGAATGCCTTTTATACAAAGTATCGTTTAAATGTGCATCTATCGATATTTTACTCATACCTAATCAGTTTCACGAGTGAATTTAAATGCCAAAGAAAAATATGAATATGAAATCTAACGATGAGAACATCTCAGCCCTTATTAGCTCGTGCACGCAGCATTGTTTTGCAGGCGGCGTTGTGCGTCTTCAGTGGCAGCTCATCTGCAAAGCAGGAAAAAATTAAACAATGGGCAAGTTATGCCTATTATTACTTACAGATTTTATGCTCGCCCTGAACTGGTAACAAGAGTGGCAACTGTTCCGGCTTAGTGCAAACAAAGACATAAGGACTATCGGATTCACCCTGAGGATAGAGCTCACGATACTCCTCCTGGGGCAAACAGCTATCCACATTTACACAGCCCAACAGGCTGCTTGTGGGGTAGTGGGTTGGAAACTTTATATCCTTATCTAAGAGAACTGTGATTAGTATTGCTTTGCGAGCCTAGCTAAGCACTCACCATTGTAGAGGACACGATAAAATTGCTCCAATTGAGCGATGTCATCGGCATGTGGTTCCTTGGCTGTCGAGGCAATCCATAGGCGACCGCGATGCTCGCTATACCACACGCGACCCTCATGCCTGAAATTATAAAGAATTTTATAGATTATTCAACTACAAATTATATATAAAGCTTCAAATACTTCTTGATGCCCGCCACAAGGAGAGATGCCCATGGCTGGTGCATGGAGAGGCATTGGCGCATGTCCTGCATTTCGAGTAGCTCCTTGTCCTGCACCCGATTATATATACGTTCGAGCCCGTCGCTGGCAATTGGAGCTGGCCAATTCTTCTGCTCCTTGCTGGCCTTGAAGACGGGTGGCTTGGCCACATCGAGATTTGGTGCCAACCCAAGGGAGGAATGACCGGTCAGTGCGTTGCTCTGGCTCGCTGATGCAGACTTGCTGACTGCAGCCAGCTGGCGCAGCATCTGCTGCTCATACTCATTGGTAACTAGCGACTCCTCGGGCAGCTCGCGTCCAGCAAAGTCAACCTTGATTTTGCGCTTGAGGCGGCTGCCGTGCTTCATTTCGTGCATTTCGCTCTTCAGCTGCTCAAACTTCTCGCGCTCGGCATCTGTTAGCCAGACGGAGTTCTCCTGGAAGTAGTCCAACTCATCATCAATGACTGTTGTCCGCTTCTCGCTGTTGCGATCATATTCCAGCAAACGGTCACGCTGTGCCAGCGCCTGTTGTAAGTCCTTATTGGACTTGACTGAGGCAGTTGGCTGCTGCTTCTTCAGCGCCTTGGCCTGGGCCTTTGTGGTCGCTCGAGTTGACGCGGCGGCCTTTGCCATTTGCTGCTCCTCCTCGGCGGTGTAGACTGGCTCATCACAGTAGAGGCACGGTCCGCTGCCCTCCTGTTCGCATACTATGCGACCGCAGCCCAAGCAGTTGTTGATCAGCTTGTGTTCGGTTGCCTGGCAGTCGCAGCTGCGTCGGCCCTTCAGCAAGACACTGTTGCCCATGATTTTACCATCACCGGAATACAGATTGACAAATTTGTTCTGCTTCTTAGCTGCCCCACCACCGGATCTTTGGATAGGGAGGGAATTCATAGGTGGGTGCGCTTTGCTTTTGGCATTGCTACGTGGCTGCTTGCCGCTGAGCAGCATGCGGCGGCAATTGTGCAAAAACAAGCGATGCTCCTCAATGTCCTCGCTCAGCAGGTTGCCAAAGTAGTTGTCAAACTCCTGATCTGTTTTGATGGCCAAAATGGTGCTGGAATTTGATGATAGGAATTAAAATTATATTTCATTTAATAATTCTGCGATACCCACGACATCATTTGATTCGTAACCACACAATCAAGGCATTTCGACAATGTTTCACACAGCCACTTTTCCATTATTGCAACTTTAATTGACGAGACTGACGAAATTCTACCAAACCAAAACACAACAAATGGATAAGTAAATATGTGCAAAATATAACTATCGATAAGCTATCGATAAGCTTTCGCGGCTTTACATTTCAAAATGCCAAATAATAATTGAACATGTGTCCGAATAAAAGACACTGAATGTTAGGGTTTTTTTTTTTAATTTTAAGTGTATTTAAAATATACTTATGTATATGTATATTACAGTAAAATTACAAGCTGTATAGCTTAACGATTATAACAAACGTGACAGGAAACAGTGTTGGACATGGTCTTTATAGCCAGATGACTTTCAAAAGATATGGCAACGCTATGACAACAAAAATATGCGAAATGCAAGTATAAAACAAAATACAATAAATATTCGTGAAAGGAATGGAAACATTTTAAACACTCTACTGCTCCCACTCGTGTTATGCTTCTGCTTCCACTGTGATCTAATGTATAATAAATTAAATAGTGTGCAAATTTACGTTAAATAGTAACTTAAGACAAAGACGCATTGTGTTTATTTAATTGGTTTGTCTCTCTCACAATATCCATGTGTATGTGTGTGTTTCGTGCTTGTATGTATGTTGAATATTTGTTGTAAACAACAAAACATAGCGCCAGGCTATAATGAAAATCTGAGGCTGCTTTTTTGTGTCGTTTGTACAAATAGAAAGCGCTGCCGACACAGCACCATTAACTGCGGCGACAAATCAAAGCAGACAACGGCAACTGCGGCGTTAGCAGAGGAGGGTACGCATCAGTCTTTGTTCAGACAGTTTAAGCAGCAGCAGCGGCAGCAGCCACCCCAATTGTCATTCGCATTGAGACAGCTGTAATATTTGTCACACGCCCCGTTACTGGGGAAAACTCTTGGCTGCTTTGGCGCTCTTAGTACGGTTAATTTGTGCTAACGGTATTCTGTAATAACAAGCGCCGCTAACATTGCTGTTGCTGATTGCAAATTGCGTGCGTCGCTGTTACAGCCAACCACACTCGGGCTACCTCTCGCGTTCTCTCACACTCGCTCCCTTTCTTTTGCTCATATAGCCCCATCATACGCCACGCCGCGGCTGCCGTTGTCGTACTTTGTAAGCGACAGCGTTGCGTTTTTAGTTTCCCCAACGCTCACGCTGTTCGATGTATTTTTTAGTAATTTCAAATTGTATTTAAAAGTTTTTCGCCTGCGCTTACGTGTCATATGCTTTGCCAAAAATAGCTAAGTAATAAAAAAAGAGAATAAAATAAAGGAGAGCTAGTACAAAAATGCAGCTACTTTACTAACTCAACAAAAAAAAAAATAAAAAGAGACTGCGTGCGCCTGCGTCATTGTGGTTGTGTTCTGTGCTTACGTACGTGTGTGTGTGTGTGTGTGTTAGTTTTTTTTTTATGTGCATGAATGTGTCGTGAAGCCGGCACAACGTCAGTGCGGTCAAACAGCTGAGACGCAGCTACGAACACACAAGCAACTGCAATACAATAACAATAGCTGCAGCTAGAACAACACACTAAAGTGCGAAAATGTATCGAATCGGTCCAATTGGACGAAAATCAAACTTCCATTCGCGCGAAAAATGTCTGATTGGCCTCGTGCTGGCGACTTTGTGCTTCCTTTGCTTCGGCGGCATTTTCCTGCTGCCAGACAACTTTGGCAGCGAGCGCGTCTTGCTCGTCTACAAACACTTCCAGAAGGCCGGTCCGGAGATTTTCATACCGGCCCCACCGCTGGCGGCGCATGCGCCACGCGACGAGGATCCCCATTTTATGGGCGATCGACAAAGACTGCAGCAAAAGATCATCGCCGAACTGGGCGATATACTTGACGAACCGCAGGCGGCGGGCGATGCGATTGCCCAGGCGCCAGCGCCACTGCCGGCTGCCCAACAGGAGCAGCCCATCGAACAGGATGCGGTGCCAGAAGCGGCTGCCCATCATCGTGTATCTCTGCCAGCAGCGGACGATACAACCAGCAACAACAATCCACTTGTGGCCGAACAACAGCTGAAGCTGCCCATGGGCATAGGCAAGGATCTAACGGGAGATCATGATGACGCTAGCATTAAAGAGAAACGTCTCAAAGTTAAAGAGGTAAGTGAATGACATAATATCGCAACACGAATACGTCTCCCCTCGCACGACCACTCAGCGGCACTGATAAGCGCGTTTCGCTCTTTTCGTCTTATGTAAGATTTGCTAGTTGGTCTCTCTCTCTCGCTCATTATAAAATAGTTTTTTGTTTTTGCACATGTCGTTCAGCGACATCAGCGGCCTCGTGTGTCTCATGCTTGTGCACTTCCGTCGTTAGCGGAGCTAATGTTGACGGATGCTGTGACGCCGATAGCTCGTTGATGTGAATACATTCATCACGGACTTTGTCGCTAACTGCTGCTGGCTGCAGCCACTACTCAAAGAGGGGCGTGCACTGGCTGGCATAGCGGTAAATACGACGAATTGTGCCGACAGCTCACTTCGGATTTTCGCCAAGCGCGAGGAAGCGAGAGAGAGAGAGCTGGATGCAGAGTAGAAAAGCTTCTATTCCCAGTCGATCACACATGCATCCTTACCGAATGTCGTATGTGTGTACGTATGTACGTATGTACGTATGTGTTAGTATGCAATGTATTATTTGATCTAAGGTTTTGCAAATTCGAAAAAACTAAAGCGTGACTTGCGTGTGTAGTGCGAAAAAGGAGCTAAATATAGATTTTACTTTGCCTTGTAGCCTGTACCCATTGAAAATGGGAATTCGGAGTATATTGACTTGGCGACAATGTATGTACCAGGTTGACGAAGGCGTGGCTGCCGAACTAAAGCATATGTATGTCCGTCCGTTGAGTTTCTTTTTCGATAACTAATTTAATTTTCTAATGAGCTACAAAAATCATTCATTTTTCTTGGGTTCTTGAGCTCAACTTGAAGACGACATAGATGATATATACATGGATTTTTAATATTACGTATCCTAGATGCCTGCACTACGCTCTTGCCTCAACAATTGGTAAATGTTCATATCTGAATATCACTGTTATGCTGTCCGACAGCTGACAGTTTATCTAAAAAAAAAATCTTATACATTAAAACATGTTATTTTTTATGTATCGATATCTGGGCTAACACATATCTTATAGTTAGATGTCAGATTCTTCGAAATTTGTTATGCCATCGAAATTCAGCTATATGAGTGCTGGTGACACTCGACGATAGCAGATGTCAAATGCCTACTAAAAAACTGATATGATATGATGTATATGGAGTGAGATGTCTTTTGAGTTCATGCGAAATTGTAGGGAATAATTAAAGAAGAATATAATTGAAATTTTTTGTTGCTGATAAAAGTTGAATACGAGTTGGCAGTAAGTAGTGTGGCTCGATAGCTTCTGAGGCATGGGCGTGGTCCATTTCGAAACTTAAGACTTTTTCTTCCTCTTGGCTTTTTGTTATTTTGATGTGCTTTCACTTTGTTACTCAAATTTTTCTTCTTCTCTTACCACTTGACTCTTTCATTTCAACTTTTTTGCTTGTTATGTTATTCCACTGACCCAGTATTCTAGGCGCTAAACTTTATTAAGTAAGACAACGTACAGAAAACGGCTTGATCATTATGAACTGATTCAGCAACAACAACGACGACAATGCCATACGCGAAGATCGCGAACACAGCAAGAGTAACGCGTTGACGTAGGCAAAGCTCTAAAGGGTATACGAAGAGTTGCCTAGATGATTGACAGCGCAGAGCTCCCATTTGACATATAGATATTCTTGAACAGATCTTTACACATGATATAGATGTCATATAATGACTTCGTTTTTTAAGATTAAGACCGCTTTTTGAGAAAAACTAAATGTATTCAAGAATTGTATTAATAAATTTAAATAAAAGTTTCGAACTCTGAAGAAAGGCAAAAAATGTTATTCAGAAAACTGAACAAGAAGTTGTTCAAATTACAAAGTAGAAAACGAAATCAGCATGGCATCTTCTTACGGGGTATTCCATAGTCGGTATCTCTTGACTATTATTGTTGTAGCCATTCTTTGTTTTGCTCTTTCGTTCGCATACTATATTTTCCAGCACATTAATAGACACAGGTAAAAAATGTATTAAAGGCACTTTTGTCTGTGGTTTTTTGATACCCCTCGAAAATTGAAATTGAAGCTAGGTTGGTCTTGGCAAAATGTGCGCGTGGCAGACGGCGACCTGAGTCGATCCAGTCACGCACATCTGTTCGTCTGAAAAAAATGTATATCAAATATTTGAAACTTCAGCTTTGACTAATGCCCACCTCTGGGTGCGAATGCCACGGTGCTTGTTTAAGCAGGTTTAACTAGAAAAAAATTGAATCAACCATTATTTTGTCAGATTAAACATTCGAACATTCCAAGTGCTCAGTCAGTGTGTGTGTGTTTCTTTGTTCATATGATATCCACATGGTATACAAAACGCCTCAAATGGCAGCACTTCGCAGGCTGCAGGGTATTTCCTAGCCGGGCAATGCACACTTGAGTACTCTGTCTTGTTTATTTAATAAATCTGTCCATCGACAGCGTCTCGAATTGTGTATGCCCGTCTATCAAAACATTTCCGCAACAAGATTCTGTTTTAAGGTTTCGCTTTCTAGTAGACGTGGTGAAGCCACGCCAGTGGCTGACCTTGCCTCAGGCTATCTATTCTATTCCTCTCGCTCGCTCGCTCTTTTAGTTTTGTGAATTCCGATAAGAGAATCTGGTAAGTGTATTTATTGTTACACAGTTTAATAACTTGTCTTAATCATGTATTTGATTATACTTTTCCGAGAAGCTCTTAATGTCGCTCGCATTTCCGTTTCGTGTCTGCTCTCCAGATATTTTAGTCAAATATCTAATCTAAAAATAAGATAAGGCTATATTGTTTTCAGTTTCTAATGCAGCACAATGGACAACTATAGTCAAACGTTTGATTACCAAGTGCTTGGAGCTTATTTCAATCGCTGTTTGCTGCCAATTTTAGGATTTGCATTTCGTTTGCAGTAAAATTGAAATTGCTACAATTTTCTAAAGCTAGTTCTAATGGTTTTTTAATGGTTTCGCTTCGAGAATCTTTACACATTAAGGCTCTGTCTATGTCTCTCGCTCTCCCATCAGAACTTTTCAATATAGCTGATAAAACTATACTATCGATCTCACGTGTTTGAGTCTTGGAGTCAAACAAGTTTCCCTCGACCGTTGATCACGATCTGCCAATTGATTTTTAGCAGCTGAAAATTAATTTTATTTTTATATTACAGTAGCTAAACAATTGTAGAAATTAATACTATATATCTTAACATTTGAATTATAATAAATATTCATTCTTTTATTTGAGACTAGGCAAGAATCTAGTAGATGTTTCAATAGTTGTTATAAAAACTCATGTTCTTCTGTCAGCTTTATGCACAATATTGTAAACTAGAAAGTTTTTAGCTTCAAACAGATGTCTATACTCTTTGTAACCAGCGTACGTCTGTAGTCCACATAAAGTATATTTAAACATAGGTCACATAGGTCACATTCAGCTGCATGGCTTTACCTCCATATGAGTAAAACGATCGAGTAAACTGCAAACACATAAATTCAATGAAATTCAGATTGAGATTTTTAAATTGAATGCTTAAAACTACAACTTTGCATACTGTTCAGGGTAGCTGCTAGTCGAGCATGCCCGAGTATAGAGTTGTTAGTTGTTATTCTTCTGTCTCTCGCCTTCCGCGTCGCTCTCTTCCTCCCCCTCTCTCCCTGAGTAAGCCAGCTGCTAATTGTAGTCCTACCCAAAAGATCACTGAACCAAGCGGTTTTTACTAAAGTAAACAAACTATTATGAAATGAACTGTAGTATAACTATCATCCATGTACTATATCATCGCATCACAAGCTTAACGAGCCTTTACAGGCCTACTTGGGCATAAAATGTTCGTGACTGCCCATTAAAAAGCGATTCAAATTTTTGTAGTACAATTAAAATGAAATTATTTAAGCGTAAATATAGCTATATATATATATATTATATATATATTAATATCTATAGATCTCTATTGTGTCCTAAGGCAAAGCAATGAGACTTATTGCTTATTGATGGGCTTTAGAGTTTGGATTATTACTAAAATATGAGCTCCAATGGTATTCTTTGAGCTTTTTAATCAATAGCTCTAAATATGTTATAATAATGTTATCAATAGACAGAAGAAGGCGTAGTCTCATTGGATCAGGTTGGATCAGTAAGCCTCTCTAGTCGTATGTATAAATGGAGCGATCAGAGAATGATTTAAGATTCCGTTAATCTAGTTCTTTTCCAAAATAGAAAGCTGTGAACTAGATTATCAGATCAAACAATTAGCAACATTTATATGAGCACATTTAGAACGATAAAAAGCGAGCGGCATGGCATGAAGTTCAGGGCATATTCTAGTCGGACACTCCCGACTAGAGCACTCTTAGTTGTTATAACAATTTTCATAACTGCGAACTTACGAACCTCGGCGCATGGCCTAATTTTGTGGGCAAGTCGCTGTTAATTTAGTCATTGCGTACAGTTACACACCCACACCCACACACACACACACACACACATCTGCTCATCCACTCATCAACTGCTAAGAATCGTTGTCTGTTTTGGCCTGTTGGTGACATTTAATTGGCCAAGTGCGAGCGGGCTTGGCTTTCACAAATGGTGCGCAACAACAATTTGAACAATTTCGTGCCATGCATGCAGATAAATACAACAAGAATAGGAGAAGAGTAAATAAATAAAACCTAAAACAACAACAACGACAACGACTGTCCGCCGTAGCTTAACGATTTGTGTCAATAAACACAGCGGCATCATCGAAACACTCGACACAAACAATTGCATTGTCAGTTCATAGTATATTTTCGGCCGAGCCGAAAAAATCTAAATTGTTGCCGGGAATCGGCTAATTGGGGCGCGTCACAGTTTTCAGATGGCCAACAAATTGGTACTAGAAATGCATTAAAATCATGTTAATTACACAGATCGGAATAGCGACAAGGAATGCTCTAAATACCTAAATGGGAAGTTGCCAAGTGACAAGAACTAACACAATTTGAATGCGAAACAC